ACTTGTTATGAAGAAGCTTTAAAGGATCCTAGGTGGATTTATGCTATGCAAACATAGATTAATGCATTAGTTCAGAATCACATGTGGGAGGTTGTTCCTTTTCCTAAAGGCAAGAAACCTAATGGCTGTAGTTGGGTGCACAAGATAGAGTATCAATCTAATGGCGCAATTGAGAGATATAAAGCCAACTTGTTGCTAAAGGGTACAATCAACAAGAAGACTTAGATTATCAAGAAACATTCTCCCCTATGGACAAAATGGTAAAAGTGAGACATGTCATTGCTTTGGCTGCAATGCATGATGGCCCTTATTTCAAATGGATGTGTATAATGCATTTTTTCGAGGTGATCTTTAGGAACAGTTGTTTATGAAGTTTCCTCAAGGATTTGGTAGTCCAGGAGATGATCAAGTATATAGACTGCTCAAATCTCTTTATGGCCTCAAAAAGGAATCCAGACAGTGAAAATTGAAGCTCACAAATGCACTATTGTCAGCTAGTTTTATTCAAAGTCAACAGGATCATTCTTTGTTTTTTTTAAAAAGAAATTCTAGACAGGTGATTATCTTTATTTATGTTGATGACTTGTTGATTACTCAAGATGATAAAGACCTTATACATGAGGCAAAGGTTGTGTTACATGCAACTTTAAAGATCAAGGATCTTGGATCATTGAATTTTTTTTTGGGAATAGAAATATGCATGTCTAACAAGGGTATATTATTATGACAAAGAAAATACACTCTAGAGTTTATAGCTGAGTTGGGTTTGGGTAGCTGCAAACCATCACTTACACCCCTTGAGCAGAATAAGATGCTCACAAGCTTGGAATATGATCAACAATGTGCTCTAGATAATTATCCACCTTTATCAAATGTGAAAGGGTATCGAAGGTTGATAGGAAGGCTACTCTATTTAACACTAACAAGGCGTTATATTTCCTATTGTGTTCAGACTTTAAGCCACTTCATGTAGGCTCCTAAGATGTCTCATCTAGAAGCTGCACACAGGTTGGTAAGATATCTTAAAAATGAGCTATGACTTGGTGTTCTAATACATGCAAAAGGAAAATGTATTTTGACAGCATTTTGTGATGTCGATTGGGCAAGTTGTCCTAAGTCAAGAAGGTCTATAACTTGTTAGATTGTGAAGCTGGTTCAATCCTTGATATCATGGAAATTAAAAAAGCAAAATACAGTAGGTACGAGTTCAGTAGAATATGAATACAGAAGTATGGCTTTAACAGTGTCTGAGTTGATATGACTTGTTGGTTTATTCAAATGTTTAGGTGTTGATGTTCTTACAAAAATTAAGCAATTTAAAGATAGTAAGTCAGCCATGAAAATAGCAAATAATACAGTGCTCCATGAGAGAAGGATGCACATAGAGATTGATTGTCATTTCATAAGTGAGAAAGTGTAGCAAGGTTTGATACATCCAGAGTATGTCTCAACAACCGAGCAGGAAGCAGACTTACTGACAAAAGGACTTTGAAAATCTTATCATTATCATCTATTGATTGTCATTTCATAAGGGAGAGGTATAGAAAGGTTTGATGCATCCACAATATGTCTCAACAACCGAGCAGGAAGCAGACTTGCTGACAAAAGGACTTTGAAAATCTCAACATTATCATCTACTATGCAAGATAGCAGTCTTGAATATCATTACTTCCTGGTTGCTATTTCTTTTGAACTAGAGCCTACTTGTTATGAAGAAGCATTAAAGGATCCTAGGTGTATTTTTTCTATGCAAACATAGATTGATGCATTAGTTCAGAATCACACATGGGAGGTTGTTCTTCTAGCTAAAGGCAATAAAACTATTGGTTGTAGGTGTGTGTACAAGACCCATTATCAATCAACTGGTGCAATTAAGATATTTAAAGTCAGACTTGTTGTTAAGGGTACAATCATCAACAAGTCTTAGATTATCAAGAAACTTTTTCTCCTGTGGTCAAAGTTGTAATTGTGAGAGTTGTCATTGCTTTGGCTACTATGCATCAATGGACCTTGTTCCAAATGGATGTGTGTAATGCCTTTTTTGAATATGACGCTGAGGAAGGGGTATTTATGCAGTTTCCTCTAGTATTTGGTAGTCAAAGAGATGATTAAGCATGTAAACTCTTCAAATTACTTTATGGCCTCAAACAGTCATCCAGAGAGTGGAATTTGAAGCTCACAAATGCATTAGTGTTAACTGGTTTTATTCAAAGTCAACAGGATCATTTTTTGTTTGTTTCGAAAAGAAATTATAGACATGTGATTATCCTTGTTTGTGTTGATGACTTGTTTATTACTGGAGATGACAATGACCTTATACATGAGGCAAAAGATGTGTTACATGCAGCTTTCACGACCAAGGATCTTGGATCATTAAAAAAAATTTTGGGAATAGAAATATGCACGTCTAATAAGGGTATTTTATTATGCCAAAGAAAATACACTCTAGGGCTTATAGGTGAGTTGGGTTTTGGTGGTTGTAAACCAGAACTTACACCACTTGAGCAAAATCATAAGCTCGCAAACTTTGAATATGATCAACAATGTGGTCTTAAAGATTATCCACCTTTATCAAATGTGAAAGTGTATCAAAGGTTGATAGGAAAGCTACTATATTTAACACTAACTAGGCCTTATATTACCTATAGTGTTTAGACTTTAAGCCAGTTCATGAAGGCTCCTAAGAAAGCCCATTTTGAAGAAGCACACAGGCTGGTAACAAAACTTAAAAATGAGCCAGGACTTGGTGTTCTAATATATGCAGAAGAAAAATGTATTTTGACAACATTTTATGATACCTATTGGAGTAGTTGTCCTAACTCAAGAAGGTTTGTCACTGGTTAGAGTGTGAATCTTGGTCAATCCTTGATATCATGGAAATGAAAAAATCAAAACACATAGAAGTTCAGTAGAATCAGAATACAGAAGTAAGGTTTTATATGTGTCTGAGTTGATATGGTTCATTGATTTATTCAAATGTGTAGGTGCTGATGTTCTTACACCCATTCAGTTGTTTAAAGACAGCAAGTCACCCATGCAAATAGCAAATAATCTAGTGTTTCATGAGAAAATAAAGCACATAGAGATTTATTGTCATATCATTATGGAGAAGGTGCAACAAGGTTTTATACATCCAGAGTATATCTCAACAACTGAGAAGGAAGCAGACTTGCTGACAAAATAACTTGGAAGATGTCAACATTATCATCTACTATCCAATCTAGGAGTCTTGAATGTCTTTACAACATCTAACTTGAAGGGGGATGTTAAAGATGATTGTAAAAATAATTACATTACTAGAGTTCTGTTATAACTATTTCTGTAGTAGTTTATTAGAGTGGTCAGTCAATAAGTCTATAATTAGTATTAGATATACTACATGTAAGTCATTTTGTATTCATTCTAATCAATAAACACAACTAGTTATTTACTCTCTCTGTTCTGCTCTAGGAATCATCTAGAAGGTCGTTATCACTTATTTGATGAAGTTTTTATCATTACTCTTAATGAATTACCCACTGTTTTGCATAGATGTTGAAAATTGTTTGGTTTTCATTTTGCTCAGCTGACCTTCTCAATAGATTTATACTTAATCTTTTTTCAAATCATATGATTCTTTAATCTCTTATTTCTTTTTGAAAAGCAAAATATAATACGTATTGAATTTTGTTTCCATTTATAATTTCTTCCTAGAATGTAGTATAGCTTAATTTTAGGAGAGATCAAAGCAACTGAAATGTGAGTCCAATTATTTGAATCTACACTTATCACAACTTCATGTCGAATTATTAAATGACACTTTACATGTGCTGACGTGTAAAACATTACCCTAAAAACTAGGATACTAAAAATATACAAAGGTGTAATTTATAGATATATAATTTAAATTAATTTCTATGTGTAACTAAAAACCTCAATTTGAAGATGAACATTTAGGTAACTCAACTCGTCTCTATTGTATTAGTTAAACTCTTCTACGAAACACCTCTGAATTTATGTACGCTACCGTTAGGTGTGTCTAAAATAAAATTTTTGTTACAAAATACTCTTTTTCGCAAGATATAACCGTAGAGAATTTTCTTCTTGTTTTTCATAAGTGTTGTACTAATAAAGTAATCTGACATAAGTTTAGGGAACTTTTTCCTTCTGCATTATGAACTAAACTTAAGTGTCTTACAACATAAATGTTGCACTTGCATGAACGGTCAGCAAAACTTTTTATACCTTATAAGGCATAACTTATGTTATATTATGATACAAAAATACAGACTTATGCATAGGACAAAAATCAATGAGTACCAATTTGATGGCAAAAAATAAACCCCTATGTTCCTTTAAGTAACATTAAAGAAATCACAATTTATAGATTTTTATTTCTTAGTCCCATATAAAATCATAATATTTAAAAGCCCTTGATAGATATAGTTATCTCATGTAGTAACAACTCTACAGATGCATAAGGCTGAGTTGTATTGATTAGTCAACTTGGAAATCCATTACTACTATTCTCCTCTGCAGATATTGATTTGTGTTATTGAGTGGATATGCTATCTTACAAAAATTCAACATGTTAGGGAATTAATTATTATGCGAAGAATATATAACATCTGAATTCAGTACAAAAAAATGCTTAAATAGCGGGGGTAAAATTACATGTAGTGGGAGTCAGTAACACCATAATTTACTGTTGCGACAGTAGTGAAAACCGTTATAAATTGGTGTGAAACAATTAAATAGCGGGAGTTTTTGACCTACGCCTGGTACCATTAGTAGGGGTTTTAACCCCAAAAATATATGTCAAACAACTGCACTTCAAGTTCTGGGAGTCAAAACCCCCACAAATCATGAATTTTACTTTAAGAATAACTGGAGTTCTAATTCCTGTAATTTATGAACATGTAACCTTTTATAAAAATTCTATGTTAAATATTAATGACTAAATAACATGTGCATCATAGTCAAACCTAAATGGGGCTTATTAGAATTAAGAAATAATAAAATATTTCAACACAAAAGAATATATTATAAAATGTACTATTAGTTTTACAAACTAAATTGAAAAAATATTATTCACTTCAACCATTAAGATTACAAGAAACTTCAAATCATTATTAGAATAGTCATTCGCTAATATTGATTTTATTGATGAAAAGATTCACTATCATTCATATGCAACAATGTCCTCCAACCTCTCAGCGAGGCTATTACCTTCAAGCATTCTTAAAACTTCTGACATCACCGTACGTTCCGTAGGCATACTTTGTGTGCACAGTAGAGCTACCTGAATAAGCTGGTCAACCTCTTAATCCTAATTACCTTGAATATCTGCATCAACTATTGTTTTATATTTCTTGTCCTTCAGGAGTCCCTCCACCTGAATATTCAATGGAATGTTATAAGACAAAAAATAGTCATGCATGCAACTATATGTGACATCTCTAAGAGCATAACCACTAGAAAGCTAGTAAGATTTATGCAGGGAGGATAAGAAAACAACACTTGAAGGCATAAGCCTCAAATACAACCAATTATATCTAATTGACATTAGTGGTATTACTGTCTATTAGTGTTCATATTCCTATTACAGTTTCTGCATTCATCATAGATACAAGAGGTTCTGAAAAGCTTTTATTTTTAATAGTCACTTCCTAACAGTTTGACCATCTCCTTTTGCTTCTCTAGGATGGCAATCCCACATAAGACTAGCCTTTCTCAAGGATGGTTCTGAATGAGTACATGTCCTAAAGTATAATTTTTACTATATGTATACCCGAATCAACATGATTTAATTGGACATTAATATCGTAGTTGAAAATATACTTAATCTTATTTGAAATTGGCAAGGCATTAACAACAAAGAACTGCAATCTACAATGGTACCAAAACTTATAATGATACATAATTCACTTTTGCAATCTACAACGATACGTAAATTCACACGTAACAATGGCTATTTGCAGTCCACCAAAAACAAAATATACAAAATTATCAAATACAGTGTACATCACAATCCACAGTAGTGTCGAATTCATAAAATTCTTGTCACAACTCACATAGACAATACAACAAATAAATAAGGAAAATTATTACCTGAAAGGCACTAACAAGAGATCGTAACTCTCTACTTATCACTATCTATTACTTATCTTGGCACATAATCCACATCTAAGCTTTAAAAGAAAAGAAAAATGTTAGTTAGAAGGGCAAATTAAACCAAATTATCAAGAAAAGTTAAACTATAAGAACTGATAAAAAAAATCTAAAGTATAAGCAATTCATATATTTGCACCATTATTTGGTTCTCTTGACCTTGGGATCAACAACTTAGACGTTACTACATCCATGCCAATTTCCATCAGCACCAATTTTTCAATGAGAAAGTCATCACTTTCAAAAACAGTACTACAGAACTTTAAGGCCAAAAAGAAAGCGACCTTGCCATTGTAACTAGACCTTCCCTGTTACTGTGGACATTAAGAATTAATCCACCTTCATTACCTACCTCACAAGCATTTTGTGTGTCCTTAACTTTGATAATTCCCTTTAGTGTGTAGACTGTTCTCCAATAGAATGTGGACAATCTGAAACAAGTGATTTGAGATGATTGCAAAGTGAGAGAGAAAAATATAATACACTAACCTAGAGCAAAACTGTGCAATTACATACGTAGACTTGTTTTCCTTGTCAGTGACATCAACCGTCTTTATCGCACCAAAATCAGCAGATCGAGCTCCAAAATTTTCAGTACTCTACATACGTACTCTCTGAACAACTTTCATTTCATGAGTCATACATCTTTCAATGAGAACCCAAAATTTAACCTACCAAAAAAAATTAAGACTAACGTTAACCAAATAAAATGCTGAGCAGAATTCAAAGCAATTTATTACTTCATATGTTTTTTGTAGTGATTAATCTTATGTCCAACACATAATATGCAAGAGAATACATACAAGAGAGTTTTACAGGAAATATACCATTCATTCTGCAAGTCACCCTGGATAGCAATCACTAAATCTCTATTTCAGATGACCTGCAAATACATCTAGAACTAGAACATCACCACTTCCTGTGCCTAATTCTAGGAAAAATCCCATCCAATCAATATTTGTTTCATAAATAATCATCTAAAACTAAAATCCAATACAAAATCTCAAACAATCAGATATACCCCAAAATAATTGTATAAATCTCAAATAAGCATATACAATAGGATTGGAAAATTCAAGTCGAAGATCTTTTGAAAACCACTCTAATAGAACAAATTTACATCTATATAATTTAGAATAGATAATATGATGGTACTGCAATGAAACTTAACAATATCTAGAACCTTCAAATTCAGTCAACATTTATACTTGATTGGATGCTAGGACTGGAAAATTTAAACTAAAATTTAGTCTAGAAATGATGAAACTTTGACTCATTGAGTTGTAATTTGCACCAAATAATAGTTTTTCACACATTGCATCATATGTTGAAACATCTAAGAGCTTAGGAGTAAAATTTAGTGCTAATAATTAAGAAATGTAGTTGATTCATTATAAAGTACAACTTACCTGATCATTATACATAACGTAATAAATCGAACGAACAACTAACTTTAGCTCTATCTGAAGCAAATACATTATTCATAGCTCCTAATACTACACATGAGGGAGAAGATATTCTCACCTGTGATGATTTTGAGGATATTCGTCGACGGAAGAGCAAATCTACCAGCTTAGAGAGAATCCAATAAATCCTCTCTTCTTTAATGTAAAATCAATACCTTAGTAGAGTTCTTGTTCTCTTCCGCGGACAAAAATCACCATACATCTCTTTTTCTCCTCATCAAATCGATTTTTTGGAGTGACAGGGAGCTAGAAAATTCTTAGAGCATCCTGCAACCCTAAAATATTGGGAGGAAAAAAATGAGGGGAAGTTTTACACCCCTACACACATTTTCATTATAATGATTTTTTTTAAAGTAAATACTAATAAACTTTTATATTTTTGAAATAAAATTCTTATTTTCAGATGACGGGGGTTTAAACTCCCCTTATATATTTAGATTTTTTCTCTTTTCAGATTGCGGGGGTTCTTAACCCTCGCTATTTACTTTTATTTTCTGTCACCTCTAAAACCTCCGGTATTTAATGTAATTTGTAGGGGTTGCAACTAACCTCCACATTGAAACTCCCGCAATTTAGGTATTTTTTTGTAGTGATTATTAGGTAAGGATTGGTGATTTACTTCTTTTTTTGCCTTTATTCTTTTTAATTCATGAGTTATTTATAAATAAATTGTATGTTTAATATTTAGTATTTTTAGACAGCTTTAAAAATTAATAAACTATTTTGAAACAACTCTTTTATTTTAATGTATTGTGCATATTTGATTTAGTCTTTTGTTTGTAATAAGGAGAATGATTCACTTGAGGATCAGCAATGGTTTTTGAGTGTTAGTCAAGCCATGGTATAGAGTTGAGTCGTGACAGAAACATAGCTCATTACGAGAGATAATATTCTTGTGATTGAGATGAGTAATGAAAAGATAAAAAATAAGATATTGTAATGATTAAAGAAAAGCACACTAACCCAAAAAAGAAAAACATGTATTATTTTTAATGTCTATATTTCTAATTAAAACATATATTGTAAATTAAAAATATATATATATATTATACCATAAAATAATGTCTTAAACACAATGTTCTTGTAAATTATTAAATTTTTTAATATATTTATCTATTTATCCACTTTAGGTAAGTGTCTGATTTCCTAATCTTCCAATCCATACATGTAAATACTGATTTCCGATTCAAAATCAAGTTTAGCAGGAAAATTAATATTGGTTTTGCTATGATATTTCCGAATTTTTATTTAAGAAAACTAAATTTTGTGTATCTCATACATGTATTTCATGTGTGACACGTATATTTCGTGCATTATATGTGCATTTCGTGTCTCATACGTGCACTTTGTGAGATACACGTGCATTTTCAAACGTTATATATACACACTTACATTATTACTCTAGTAAGCTAAAAAGTGAAAAGGAATATATTGTTGTTCGTCCCAAAAAATAAAATTTTAAGTGGTTCTGAACATTTAATGAAGTGTGTCACCCCTGAGTCCAAACAAAGGTACACTTTTTAATAATGAATGAGGCATGTAACTAGTTCTATTAACCATACACAAAGATGTATACGTTAATCATAGGTTCAATTATATTAGCATGTCTTATGTGAGACTTTGAAATGACCCGATAGATGTACCGTAGTCAATCAGAGTCATCATCATTGTGGATACCCGATTGACGTACTCTAGTTAATCATATTTCATCATCATTGTGAATACCCTTATATATGTGTATATATATATATATACTAGATCTGAGAACATGCATTGCACGTTTATTTGAAAATACTTCATATACATTTGTATTGCAAATTACTTATTTTATTCCCTTTCAATCTATGTAATTTATGGGGGAAAAAAGTCATTCTTTTCAGATAGGAACTACATATATCTTTCTAAGAAAAGAATATACATTTGATTACTAAATTGATTAAAAGTGTACAAAGTAAAAATAACTAACTATTGCATAAATTCAATATGCAAATGAGGATACCAAAATCCCACATGCTACGCTAATGTATACAAAGCAACAAACCATGGTAAATTTCAATAATAATAACAACAAAACATTATAAAAATTTTACAATAACAACAAACAATAAATATAAATATTAAACTAAACAAATAAAAAGAGAAGAGAGAAGAGAGTATAGATATTTTTTTTGAAAATGGTTTAAGTATGTACATTATTGTATCAAATGTCACTATTAATATGATAGTATTGAAGAACACAAATAGTTGTCATGAATATGAAATTAATCCATCTGAGATTAAGGTGAGAGACAGGAATAAAAACCGTAATAAATACAATCAGGGAGTTGCATCTATTTACAACGAAGAATTAGTGATAACAAAATTTATGTGTATCAATATGATGATTTATTATTTAGTATTTAATATTTGATTAATTAAATAATTTATAACATTTAAATGTAATGTATGAGTAAAAATATAAGGGTAAAAGATGTAAAAAAATGTATAAATTAAAAGTATAATGAAAAATCATTATGACTAAGATGAAGAAATTTGTAGCGACTATTAATATGAAATATCATCACTATTCATTCGTGAAGTTGTAAAGATTGTGAATTTCTTTTTCTTTTTGTTAATAATAACGTACAATTTAATAATGAGTATTGGATTGTAAGTCTACTTAGACATAGGAGTATTGTTTTGATAATACGAAGAGTAAAAATCCATGAATCCCAAGATAAATATTGATAAAAAAAAACTACTTTAAATAATTTCAAGATAATAAATTAATAGTCCACAGAAAATTTTGTAAGTCAACTTTTGACTAAGATTCTTCTCAATTTTAATATAATTAATTTCTGAACACGTGTCTCATCCTAATATATTAATATAGACTTCCTAAACTGAAGTATATAATATCCTATTTAACAATTGAACAGTCATTTAGTTAAAAAAAGTAGATTCAAATACAACATATATTTGAAATGTAATATTATTCATCTGCCATGTAACAAAATGAGATACATGCTTGAGAGTTATTCTATTTCATCACAAAGACAGCAACTCTAGGTATTATACTAATAATTTTTTAAAATAAATATACATACTAAATAAGAATTGAGAGGCCACAAAGCATACAAAAATGACACTAAATGAAACCAATAAAATTGGATTTTAAATAAGACTCATGACATATATGCTCCATAAATACCAGTTTTGTTCAACAACAACTTCCAGAATGATACTTTTTGGAAGAAACTAAAAATACAGAGTGTGCGAAATATATAAAATAAAAAATATTATCTATATACATTATTTCATTAACACAAGCCAAATTTAAGAAGTAAACAAAACTTGAATTTGATCAAAGGAAAAAAATAGTATTACCTTATGCTAGGGTAAACTTAACAAATAACAGGGTCATAATAATAGCTTTTTGCGAAGTCTATCAGAATAGGAATAAGAATAAAATGATAAAGAAATTTTGAAAGGATTGTAACTTTATAAAGTGCAAAAAATATGAAAAGAAAGTTTAAAAGACAAAAGATATGAATGCTTTAATAGGAAAAAGTTTGATACGTTAGTTAAATGGTCAAGACAAAGTGATTATATTAAATATGATTAGGGATATTTTTGTAATTCAACTTTCAACTATAGAGCTTCCTACTTTTTGTATAATATAAGATATATATATATATATATATATATATATATATTTAAAGATTGATTAACAAGAATTATGTCTAGAGTATAATATCCATTTTTTATCCATTCGTGCTCCCAAAATGCAATAATCGTTAATTAGATTCTTTAAATTCGAAATGGGATCATTAATGGAGGGAAATAGTTTCATTTAGAGCTTATGCTCTTTGTTTCATCGTGATATTAGAGCTACTAGATTGCTCATGATTGTTTTGTGTTCTCGAATTGATGTTTTTTTTGTCTTACTGTAACTGTTCAATTTTATTTTTCGTTATTGTCCATCTATTAAATGAAATATAACAAATTCTTAATTACTCGATTACTTCTATTGTCAAACTACATCTCATTAAGTTCATTTCATCAAATATTTACTATATAAATATTGACATTTATTATTATTCTAAGATAGTTGAAATTATAAATATGCGATCACCATTTTGAAATTATAAACTCAATTAAATCATAGAATTGAATCATACATTCTTCTTCCTGCTTTATTTGTTGTTCGTTATATTGTTTTTTCTCAAGATAATTATTGTTATGAATTATAATTATATCACAAGATAAGCTTTTTGTAGTATTTATTATGTCATATTTTAGAGGCATTTGACAATTTGTTGTATGCGGCATGTACTGCAATACCACTCCACATTTTACCTGACAAATATATTGAAATCAAACATTCAAGATTTTTTATGTTGGGGTTAGTGAGCTCAGGTTATGGGATTCATTATAAGATTTTTTTTTCTCTCATTATTTATCTCAAATTATCAATCATAAAAATATTATGATATGTTAGTTTGGGTTTAAGAAAAGTGAATAAGAACTATGAAAATGTGGGAACTAAGGGGAGGGATGTCATTTCTTCCCTAAAGAAAAGTGTTTGTTATTATGGTGGAAACACTTCTTAGAGCTAATTTGTTGATTTTAAGTTGCAGCTTATCACAAAAATTAGTCATATCAGGAAGAAAAAATATTGATTGGCGATATTTTAGGAACAAATTAAAAAAAAAAATATTTTAGGAACAATTTTTTTTTTTTTAAAAGGGAATTTTCTATGGATAAAACTTGTTGACTTGCCAGCTAGCCCTTCTTTTGTTTAGTGCTTGGTTTCTCAATCATCCACTCCAAATCTGTTAATATGGATTTCCCGTTACTAATTGAAAACATGAAAATCAAGTTTAGTGGCTGGAAATTTAATAAATATTAAGCTATAATATACCTTGAATTTAATTATATTTAATAAAATTATCCTTTATGTGTGTTATATGTGTATTTTGTTGAACATGCATGTATTTTGTGCGTCAAGTATGCATTTCATGTGCTATACGTGCATTTTCATATATGATATACAAGTACATTACTAAAATAGTATGCTATAAAGTGAGAAGGAATATATTATTGTTCGCCCTACAAATATATTTTTAGGTTTTACTAGGCAGTTAATAAAGTATGTCACCCTGAGTCCAAACAAAGGTACACCTTTTCAAGAAGCACATCCAATTCTATTAATCATACACGATGGATATGCATTAATGTTAGGTTCAACCAGATTAGAAAGAGCATGTATTATATGAGACTCAAAAATAGTTTGGTGGATACACTCCTAGTCAATTAGATTCATCATCGCGATACCGTTATAGCTACTTCAAGGTATTGAGTAACGAGGGTTAGGTATTGAGTACAATATCCATACACTACACCATTTTCGGCCTACAGCAACACCACATAAGTGTAGCCTAAACTAGCAAAAAGTTGGCCTTTGATAAAAG